CCCCCCCCCCCCCCCTTCTGCCCGTCATGCCCCTACTTGATCACGATCATGGTCACTGACGCCATCACCGCTCTCAGCCCCCCCCCTCCCCACCCACGCCGTGATGGACGAGTCACGCAAGAGGAAGCGAAGCCCGGGCGAGGACGGGCAAGGACCGGGGAGCAAGCGGGCGACGGGTATGGGAGGGACTAGCGAGTTGGGGAGCGGGACGGGTATGGGTATGGGCAAGAGCCTGGGGCTGGGCAAGGGCAAGGGGCTGGGTATGGGCAAGACGCTGGCAGGAATGGCAGGAATGGCAGGAGCAGCAGCAAGAGGAGGCAGTGGTGGTAGTGGTGGCAGAGGTGGTGGGCATGGCAGTACGGGCAAGCACGGAAGTTCGACAGAGTTTACGGCGGCTGACGATGCGGCGCTGGTGGAGGCGGCGCTGCAGGGCGTGGTGGCGCCTGCCGTGGCTGCAGTGGCGGTTCCGCTCTCGGCTCCGTTCACCCCGCATGACATTGCCGCGCGTTGGAAGTATTTGCTCAACTATGCCACGCCTGAGGGCGGGACAGGCAAGGGATCGCCGCTGGCAGAGCTGGCATCGGCGCGCAAGGCGCTACGCTCGGCTGATGTGGTGTGGTCGGCCGAGGAGGACAAGGTCCTGGCCGGGTACTCGGGCCCACGTACGGCCGAGGCACTGCAGGCGCTGCTGGGGAGCCACGCGGCGGTTTTCCACCCGACGCGGACGCCGAAGGACTTGCTGGAGCAGCTAATGGTGCTGGACCATGTGGCGGCGGTGACAGCGGCGGCGCCGCAGTCCGCGTCATCGTTCGCAGCGCTGGAAGAGGAGCTCTTTGCGGACGCCGACCGCACGCTGTGCAAGGTGATGAAGGACAAGCTTCGGTGGTCGGAGCGGGCGCACCTTGTTCCACTGCTGGAAGGCGCGCTGGCTGCGGGCGGCGGGGCCGAGGCCAGGGCCGGAAACGGGGTGCCGTCTGCGGCGGCGGCGCAGGCGCTGCTCGCAAACGAGGCGTCCTCATTTGAGCTTGCCACCGCGCTTCGCGACGCCGAGTGGGTCCGCAACACGGTGGCACACGCCGATCGCGTAATGGAGCTCGAGCCGCTTGTCGAGCTCCGGCGGCACATGCAGTGGTCGCCGTCGACGCTCGCCCTCCTCCGCGGCTCCAAGCTGTTCTTTGCCATGGCATACGCCGGCTTTACCTTTGGCCGCGGGTCGGGGCCTGCCGACGTTGATCTTGCGGTCGAGGGCGCGTGCCCCAAGGTGTCGCGGCTGCAGGGCGCCATCAAGCTCAAGGCTGACGGCTTCTTTTACCTGGTCAACCTCGGCTCGGCGCGAGTGGCGGTCAACGGGGCGCGGCTTCGAAAGCACGGCTCGATGCGGCTGCCACACAACGCATGCCTACAGATTGCTAACCTCACGTTTATCTTCGAGGTCAACCAGGTGGTCATGCCGCAGGTGCGCGCGGCGCTGGCGCCTGCGCTCGACGCCGCCAAGGCTGCGGCGAGCGCGGCGGCAGGCTTGCGGACGCGGACGTGAAGAACGCGACGCAAGGTGAAAGGTGAGCTCCCTCACAGTGTCGTCTGGCCAAAGGCTGAGAGCACCATCTGGACAGCAACCTTGGCGGTGGCGTTGCGCGTGTCGAGGACCGGGTTGACTTCGACGACGTCGAGCCCGCACATGCCGCCGTGGCGGGCGAGCATCTCCATGATGAGGTGGCCCTCACGGAAGGAGATGCCGCCGGGCACGGGCGTGCCCACGCCCGGGGCCACGGACGGGTCGAGCGAGTCTGCGTCAAACGAGACCGCAAACGAGTCAGCGACGCCCGGAGCGATGATGTTGAGCGCACGCTCCATGACGTTGGCCATACCGTGGCGGTCGATGGAGGACATGGTAAAGACATTGTGGTCCTCGATGAGCCCGAGTTTGGCCATATTGTCGCGCTCGGCCGGGTCGACGTCGCGGATGCCGACGCACGCCACCCGCGACGGGTCGAACATGCCGTCGGGCCCACCGACGGCCGCCGAAAGGCCCGGCACCTCGAGGCCGAGCAGTGCCGCGAGGGGCATGCCGTGCAGATTGCCCGACGGCGACGTCTCGGGCGTGTTCATGTCCATGTGCGCATCGATCCACAGCAGCCCGGCCTTGGCCTGCCCGGCCGCAACCCGTGCCCGCTGAGTCCCCGACATCGAGCCGGCTGCCAGCGAGTGGTCGCCGCCGAGAACCAGCGGCACCGAGCCGCGGGTGACAATGTCCTCGACCACCTCGGTGAGCGACGCGACCGCTGCCCCAATCGGCCGGTGGTTGCGGGCGTTGACAACCTTGTCGTCAAGCTCGCCGGCGTCGGCCATCTCCTCTCGCGTCGGCACGTGGATGTTGCCTGTGTCTGTCACAGAGCTCACGTCCTTGAGCTCCGCGAGCTTGGTGAACAAATCCGCCAGCCGCAACGCCGACGGCCCCATGTCGACGCCTCGCCGGCCTGCGCCCATATCGAGCGGCACGCCCACTACTTCGATCGAGATCTGCCTTGCTGCCGTCTACATAGGGGGTGAGTTGTGCTGATGACCTTGACCTAAGCGCGTCAGCCATGATCTTGACCAGCACCTCCGCCTCGGTCGATGATCACGACTCATGACCACGACATAACCATGACGCGCGACCCATGACGCGCGACCTGTGGCCCATGCATGACCACGACCACGACCACGACGTAACCATGACGGCACCACGGCAAGACCAGCCAGCACCGATCTGGTCCACCTCGACCACCACGAGACCAACCACAAGACCGACCACAACGTCCACCACCTTGGACACCAATCCGATCATGCCCCCCTCCCTCCCCCTCTCCTCCCCCCCTCCCCTCCCCCCTCCCCCGCCCCCCCCCCCTCCTCCACTGTGCCTGGCAGCCCGACACCAACTGCACGCAAAGACTATCCGAGACGGGACAACGTACAGGGACAGCCATGGCAAGGGTAGAGACACGGGAAACAGCGCGACAGCCAGCTGCAAGCATATTGGGTATGATACGGGTTGAGGAGTGGAGTGGAATGTGTGCTCCCCCCCCCCCTCCCCCTCCCTCCTCCCTCCCTCCTCCCTGCCGTCCCCTCACGACTCGGCCCATCGCCCACCACTT